AGGGAGTCGGGGTGTTTGTTTTTGGTCAACTGAGTGGACATTCTCCATTTGATTTTGGCAGGCCTGAAAAGTATGCAGACTTTAAGGGTAACCACTAATAAGCATTCTTTAAGCCGTAGAGTTTAAGGCAATGGTTCATAAGAACAGTCTTGGCCCTTGTTAAAGTTTTCATTTCCTCATCCATATTCTTTTCTTTTTCTTTTTCACTAGAGGAGTGACATTTCTATCTGACAAAGTCAAGGACCTTTTCCATTTTTGTGGGAGGAAGGAAATAAACATTTATCAAGCACTTACTATGTACAGACACTGTGCTAAGTGCTTTATAAAGTTATCTCATTTAATCTCCATTTTTAAGAGGATTTAAACCATCTTCAAACATAACTGTCAAAGTGGAAATGTCAGAAGTTAGCACTAGATAGAAAGTCCCAGGGAAACCAATCCCTTTTCTTTTCAGACTATACAAAATTTAGTATTAATTATTATTATCAGTATCCTTGTAGAGGTGGATAAAGAGCTGGCCTTGGGACCAGAAGACCTAGGCTCAAGTCCAGCCTTTAACACCTATTGGATGTGTGACCCTGGACAAGTCCCTTAAATCTCACAGTAATCAGACAACTCTCTAAGAATATAAGTTACAAAGATGCCCACTGAATTGGTAGAGGAATTTCCTCATCTGGGAATTCCCATGTATCTATAAAGTCATAATTAAGTCTCTAGTTCTGTCATCATCTGGGTCCACACAGCAGAAAATGAATGGCCAATTACCATGCAGATGACCAAACCTGATAATTCAAGGTAAAATATCCATTAGAAAACCTCAAGTATGTGTATTACTTGTTTTGCACTAGTCCAGTGAATCAGGCAATTGCAACTCTGTGCTCTATTTTATTCTATGTAGACCTAAAAAAGTTCTCACACACACACACACACACACACACACACACACACACACACGCCCCTTCTGTCTCCCTCTCAAGTATGTCCTTTTTTTTATTTGTGAATACTTTTTTGTTGCATGCCATCCAAGAGAAAAAAAAAATCACAGAATGGGGAAAAGAAAATACAGGAATCCAAATCATTTATTGTATAGTATGAAGGAGCTGTTCTTATCACTTCCCTGACCTCTATCACTGCTAGGTCACAAAAGCTGCAAATCTTTTTTTTTCTAAAGTTTAAAATAAATACATTTTTAAAATTCCATTTCTGAGGAAGAATAGACCAATATCAGACCACATGATTTAGTGCTAGAAGGCACCTTAGAGATAATCCATACCAACACTGCCAATTTTTTCCAGCTGAGGAAACTGAAGCCCAAATGAAGTTGAGTGATTTGCCTGAGGTGACATAAGCATCACAGGATTTTAGGCTAGAAGGAACATACTGGAGGTGGGAGCAGGGGTGCGAGGAACTGGGCCGTGCAAAGAGTGCTAAATTAGAAATCAGAGGACATGGGTTCAAATACTGGGCCCGCTTACGTCCCGTGTCACCTTCTCAGTTTCGTCAACTGTGAAATGAATGTGGACTCAATGACTTTTAAAGGCCCAGCTCTAAATCTCTTTTATTTTATAGATGAGGAAACCTCATTTAAGCTTTCTGGGCCCCTGTTTCTTAAACCATAAAATGAGTGAGTTGACCTCCATGGCCTCTAAAAGTCTCTTCCAGCTCTAAGATCCCCATAAAAGCCTATGACCTTTCACCTGGATGCCCATTCTCCTGATTGGTGAGTCCCAAGCCTAGCCAATTACTTTATGAGAGGCCCAGGCCATGATGACTTCAATCCCCATTTCACTCACTCTTCAGACTTCTCCAGCTCCTGGCCAGTAGCCCTTGTCTGCTTGAGGGTAGCCCTCCCCACAATCCTTTCCTCTACTCTTTTATGTGTTGTCCTCCACCATTAGAATGGAACTTCCTTGAGGGTAAGGAATGGATTGTCTTGTTGTATTTGTATTCCCAGTGCTTAGCACATTATCCAGCACCTAGTAAATAAATGTTATTTATCTATCTTGTATCACTTTTTCTGGCCACCATGTGTACGCTTGCCCTGTGTGAGTTCTCCATTAAACCGTCTTTTTGGCAAGCCAACATTTCAAAAAACGTGGCCAGCCCATCAGAGTTGCGCTCTCTGAAGTAGAGTTTGAATGCTTGGCAGTTTCACTCGAGAAAGTACCTCAGTGTATATTATCTTATCTTGCCAGGTGATCCTCAGAATCTTCCTAAGACAATTCAAATGGAAGCAATTCAGTTTCCTGGCATGACACTGGTATACTGTCCAGGTTTCACAGACATACAACAATGAGGCCAGCTCAACGGCTCTGTAGACCTTCAGTTTGGTAATCAGGCTGACACCTTTTCTCTCCCATACTTTCCTTTGGAGCTTCTCAAACACTGAGCTAGCTCTGGTAATGTGTACATTCCTGGAAAGTACACTACCACGGTAAGTGAACTTATCCACAACATTCAAAACTTCTCCACTTGCTGTAACCAATGGTTCCACGTAGGGATGGTATGGTGGTGGCTGATAGAACACTGTGTTTTCTTGGTGTTAATTGTTAGACCAAAATTAGCACAAGCAGCAGAGAATCAATCCGTACTTTATTGCATCTCAGCTTCAGAGGCTGCATTGAGTGCACAGTCATCTGCAAACAGAAAATCACGTACCAATATTCCCTCTACTTTGGTCTTGGGCTGTAATCTTTTCAAGTTGCAGAATTTACCATCAGTTGACCTTGATGCCATGTTCCAGCTGAAGAAGGGGTTTTGAATGTCATTAGATTCCTTTCGTGAGGCAAAGCACCTGGTACTGATTCTATTTCGGATGAAATTTACAGGGTAGGAGGTCCACAAGCTGACTGAAATTTTCCAGGTTATATGGCAAGAAGAGATTATCCCCCAGGAGTCCAAGGATGCCTCCATTGTTCATCTCTATAAAGGTAAAGGAAATAGATTGTACTGTGACAATTACGGGGGTCTCTCTCTTAGTCATTGCTGGCAACATTCGTGCCAGAGTCCTTCTTAATAGGCTGATCCTTCACCTGGAAGACAGTCATCTACCTGAAAGCCAGTGTAGATTCAGAAAGGGCAGAGGAATGGTTGATATGGTGTTTGGTGCCTAACAACTCCAGGAGAAATGCTAGGAGCAGAACGGAGGTCTGTATACAACAGTTGTAGATCTAAAGATGTATATCATCTATCTAAAGATATATGCGTGTGTGTATGTGTGCATGTACACATACATATATACATACATATACATGTATTGTATATATACATATGTGTGTGTTGTGTGTATGCATGCATATGCATGTGTGTGTGTATACACATATGTGTGTGTATATACATGTATCCAGATAGGTCTGGACTCAAATCGGGAAGACTTACATTCAAACCTAGCATCAGATACTCACTAGCTGCGTGACCTTAACAAAGTCACTAAACCTCTGCCTCAGTTTCTTCACCTGTAAAATCAGGATAATAATAGTACTTACCTCCCAGGGTTGTTGTAAGAATCAATTGAGATAATCATAGAACATTTAGCACAGTGCCAATCACATAGTGATATATATAGATATAGATATATGTTGTTATTATTATTACTATATCATCTATCTACCTATCCACCTGTGGATCCATCTATTTATAGATACATATCACTTACTGGCAGCTAGGTGGTAAAATGGATAGAGTGTTGGGCGTGGAGTCAAGAAGACTCATCTTCCTGAGTTCAAATCTAGCCTCAGACACTTACTAGCTGTGTGACCCTGGGCAAGTCACTTAACCCTCATCTGTAAAATTTGTTGGAGAAGGAAATGGCAAACCACTCCAGTATCTTTAGGAAGAATATAAAGAGTCAGACATGACTGAAAAAATGACTAAAAACAGTATTGTCTGCCTGTCTATAGATATAGATATAAGCTAACTAAAGGCATATATATATATATATATATATATATATACACCTTCTATCTACCTATCTCTAGATATAGATGTCATCTGTCTATCTACAGATATATATAATCTATCTATACATATAGATATTATTTGACCATCTAAAGATATAATATCTATTTATTGATATCTGTCAAGTTAAAGATACATATCATCTAGTAGATCTACATTGATATCTACCTAAAGATATCTATCTATCTATTTATCTATCTATCTATCTATCTATCTATCTATCTATCTATCTATCTAACTAACTAACTAACTCAAGGGGTGGGGAACCTTCAGCCTGGAGGCCACCCCTGAATCTATCTGAAACCGAGACCCAGAAAAGTAAAGAGACTTTCCCAAGGTCACTTCAGTAGAAAGTCAAACACTAGATGTGACTCTTTGCTTGTAGTCCTACACCATGAAAGGCTCAGTCTTTGAAAACTTGTTTGAATCTGAGGTTATAAGGGAAGGGGGGGGGGTCTCCCTCAGTCTCATCAGTTACAGCCTCCTGCTGACTCAAAAGCCTGAGATGAAGCGTAGTAAGTGAAGAGCTGGAAAAACATGCACACACGTGTCTGGAAGCTAAATGAATCCAGCAGCACCCTGGCCTGTGGGTGTCTCGGTGGTGGGTCCCTTCAGTAAATGAGCTTTTGAGTAATGATGCTTTAAAGTCGATTTGCCTTTTGAGCACTCCGATGCCCAGAGGCCTTGACTGCTGTTACCAATAGAAGAAAGGACACCCCCGCCTAGGAAAAAAAGAAAAAAGAAAAAGAAAAAAGGAGTCTGGCACTTTTAGCTAAGGGGTAGCCTCTTACAGAGGGCACGAAATCCAGTGGCCCTGGATGGGTTAGAGGCAAACGGGAGAAGCAGTGGGGAGTGAACTTGCAAAAAGACTGGGAGGGAGAGGGTTTTGCTTTCTTCTCCATTGCTGGGAGAGACCTCTAGGTGGTGCAGGTGAGTTTGCCGTGAAGGAAAGCCCCTCGCTCGCGCTCGACTTTTCCAAACTCTCCAACAGGACAGTAGGCAGTGAAGGAAGAGTTCCCGGGAAATCTTTTGAAACTACCAAGAGCGCCAGCGCCGGGCTGACCCCAGAAGCGGTGGTGCGCTGTGCCTCTGGTCCCTGGGGGCGCTGAGAGACCCTGCAGGGAGTGACAGTGTGGCGACCGGCTCCGGGAGGTGGGCCTTTGCAGCTCAGGACTGCCAGAACCTGGTACTCCAAGAGAAGCGGGACCTTGGCTGGCGCTCTCCTTCCAGTCCGACCGAGCTGCCTGCTGCGGGACGCTTGCTTGGGACCGGCCGTCAGTGCCAGGTAAGCGTGGGTCTTTGCTTGGGATGCGGTTCGCCCAAGTGCCCCACCGGGGAAAGACAGGGCTGTCTGTCAGGGGCAAAGAAAGAGCCCAAGTGCACATTTTTGAAATGCATCTCATTTTTTCGTTGTGTTTGAACAAGCCGTACCTAGCACCGTGCGTCCCCGCTCGGGGCTTTAAGACTCAAGATCTCGTCTTTGTTTTGGGGGAAACACCAGAAACCCAAATTCCTACCTCGATTGCAGGTTTAAAGGGTAAGCCAAACTTTACATGTGCTTAACTGGCTTCAAGCACTTTGGTTACTGAAAACAAAGGGTGCCTCCCAAGAGCCCCAGCAAAGTGTACCTTCCAGGACTTAGGAAGAAGCTGGCTCCTTCCGAGAGGGGAGTTGTTAGGCAGTTGGTCTGTTTCTTTCACAAAGCCAATCAACAAACATAGAGCTCTCTCCAAGGTGAGATTTTGAAGAAAGCTAACAAGTTGCCATTGTGCTCTAAAGTCTTAGGAGGGTGATAGTAGTAGTAGTAGTAGTAGTAGCAGCAGTAGTAGAAATAGCAGCAGCAACAGGAGGAGGAGGAGCAGGAGGACGGGTGGTGGTGGTGATGTTAGTACTAGTAGCAGCAGTAGCAGTAGTGGTGGTGGTGGTGGTGGTGGTGGTAGCAGCAGTAGCAGTAGTAGGTAGGTAGGTGGCATTTAGCGCTTTAAAGTTGTTTTTGTTTTTGGTTTCTTTTTGGTGAGGTAATTGGGCTTAAGTGACTTGCCCAGGGCCACACAGCTAATAAGTATCAAGTGTCTAAGGCCAGATTTGGACTCAGGTCCTCCTGACTCGAAGGCCAGAGCTTTATCCACAAAATTTTTTTTTTTGCTTTAAAGTTTGCAAAGCACTTTACCTATGTTATCTCATTTGATAAGAAGAGAAGGCACTGGGCCCGTTAGAGAACCTAATTTTGAATCCTGGTTCTGCCCCTTATTACTACCTCATTACAAACCATTACACATCTTTGAGCTTGGTAAGTAAAATGATGAAGCCAGACTAGATGATCTGCAAGGTCTCTTCCAGCTCTAAATCTATGTTCCTGTGAAATCTAACTTTGCACATCAGCTCTGACGTTTACTTACCTGTGTGAACTTGGGACAGTCACTTCCCTGTATCTTGGTTTCCTCTTACGTAAAATGACTGGATTGGACAAGGTACGAAGTTTTCCAAGGTATCTTGCAGCTCTAATTTCAGTGACCGTATGTTTCTATCTAGCTGGTCCCAGAAGTGAAAACCAGTTTTGAGCAAAGACTTGATATTTCATTTCTAGAATCCCAAAACAGAGCAGCTCATATCCCATGATTAAGAGTCAGATTTGAACTCAGAGGGACAGAGGAATTTTCTTACTATCAAATGTCTCTCTTTAGTATCAGATTAAAGGACCCAGGTACTAAAGACCAGGGAAACTTGAGAAAAAAATGCCAATTGGACCAAAAAAAACCCCCCATCAAAATAGATATTTCATATTATAGATACTCACTGGCCTACAATACATTATGTTTATTTAATGCCCAAAGCCAAATTAGAAGCAGATACAGAAATGGAAGGAATGGTGGAGAGAGAGACAGAGATAGAAAAAGACAGAAAGAGACAGAGACAGAGAAAGACTGAGAGAGAGAGACAGAGATACCAAGAGACTGAGAAAAACATGTAATGGAGTAAAGACCTGGTCAGTCATAGAATGATGAAATCATCTGGATTTAAGCTAGACAGAAGAATGTATTGCTGACATGAATAGTGTGGAGGACAGGGGGATACAGCAAAATAAAAATGAAACTAGACCTCTTGTGGTCCTTCTTTGATGAGTAATCTAAGAATCAAACAAATGGTAGCAAATCTAAAATGTGAAAAAGGTAGTGAGTTTTAGGGAGTGGGAAGAAGCCAATTCAAATGATTACGGTCAGGAATATTTAGTTTGGGTTTCTTGCTTGTCATTGTCTAAGAATGCCAAATCATAACAACTTGAGCACTTGAATATACAGTTTACTAGATCCAGCAGAAGGAGAAATTGTCACCAAGTGTGGAAAATCACAGCTTGTCACGATTCTCATGAGTATTTACACTCCTTTCCAGTGATGAGGCAGTGAGAAATTTTGAGAACTTTGGCAACAATCTGTTTTACTTCCTAGAGCACACATCACCTTGCCCTTTACAGACCTCTGCCCTCACCACTGGTTCCTGTAAGCTTGCATTGTAGAGAATACTCTTTGGCAACAGACTATCTGGGGAAACCCACCAGTGACTCACCCTCATATTTCTTTAGGAATACTAGTTATCTCAACATAAAAGTAAAGATGTAGGGGAGGGCAAGGTTTCAATGTATAGACAAAAGTCATTTTCCCAGTAGTCAACATTTGCAAAGCCTGAGAATTGAACTTAGCTTGTCCTTCAGGCCACCACAGTGTTGTGTGCTCAGGCCCATTTCACAAAGGGCACAGCTAAGGCTCACTGATGGCCTGAAGATAACCAAATTGCCCACAGGCCATCAGTGAGCCTTGTAGCAAAAGTGTTTTGCTGTCCTTCTGGTCAATGGGGTTTATTGATGAAGGAAGAGACCATAGACAGGTACCTTTCTGAAAGGGCAAATGGAACCTTGGTCACCTGACTCCCAGTCCCAAGTCCAGGTAAGTCCTGTGGTTAACAAAGAATGGAATTTGTGCTAAGGAAAATGCACAGGCTCATAACTTCAAAGAATCAACCAAATCTGAAATTCAAACAATGCAGACGTAAACATGATTGATTTTTGGAACCCAGCCCCACTGTTAAGTGGCTCATTCACCTCCCATTCTGTTTTCTTGCTGTTCTCTTCCTGACTTCAAGGATCGTACCCTGCACACCACCTCTGCCCTTGGGCCCTTTTCTCTTCCAGTATCACAGAAGACATCTATCCCATTATCTATCTTGGCAGCTATTGCATGATCTATCTGAGAGATTTCATCCCCTCCAATATCATAGTTGATTTATATGTAATGATCATACTTCATTAGGCTAATAGGTATAGGGGAGACCAGACCCAATTCCCTATTTTAAGTAAGAGGTTCAGTGTTTAGATATCTCATCCTCTCCAGCTGGTTACCTTCAGTCCAGTTTACACCTCTCTCTACTGAGTCTTTCTTTAAAAGAATAGAGTGAGGGAAAATAGAACGTGAAATGAGTTGCCTTGGGAGGTGAGGGGTTCACCCTCTTTGGGAGGCTTTAACCATTCCTTTGTGAATTGGTTGGACAAGATGGCTGCTAGATCCCTTCAGAGTAGATTCAGAGGAACCTTCAAGGGAAAGGCACAAGCCTGTGGAAGAATGGTAGGTTTTTAATCCTTGTGAGCCTTCTTGATGAAAGATCCAGTAAAAAAGAAGGTTGAAGCTAACAAAGTAAAATAAGGTTTTGGGATGACTTGTGGGCTATAGTCCAAGCATCCCATCTTTTGTTAACAAAACACAACAACAACAACAACAACAACAATGAGAATTGACTTTTTTTTCTCCCCCCTCATCAATGTTACTCTCTGGAGTCTCAAAACATTGCCAAGGATTGGTTAAGCCCATCCAGGAACACTGTGTGAAAATGCCTCTGACTCAGCTCTCAGGGTGGAAGTAGGATCCCGTGCTCTTTCCGATGGCACAGCTGAGAGGGGGTACTGGACCACCAAGGTCCCCAGAGTAAGCAAACACACAGATTCCAGCTGGCAGCTGTGTACCTCTTGGGCTTTTGCAGTCGCAATTGGAGGCATTTAACATTTCTCAACAGTCACATGCCTGAGGAGGCAAAATCTCCTTTTTGGCTTCCAAGAGGCACAGCTGCCTCAGTATTATCAGAGCCTGAGGCCACCACCATCTATTCCAGCAGCTACTGCCTGCCCGCCTGCTTCCCTTCTTCTGATACCTCCTAGTTTTATGTGGAGATTTGCATATGTAGCTAACCAGGAATGCTTTTGTTCTCCATTTCCTACAAATCAAATTACTCCTCAATAGGTAACAATGATAAAGATCCCTACCGAGGGTGTTGCATTTGTGGAGAGATACCACAGCCATGATAGACATCCTGCATTTCATCAACAATTCACTTTACAAGCTAATAAATCCCTTCTCTGTCTTACAGATTGTTATTTTTCCCAGTGAGTCAGTGATGAAATCAGCTATAAGTGTAACAACAATAATAACAAAGCTACCACTAATACTAAGAGGAATCAAAGCCAGTAGTCTTGAAATCCAAGTGGGGGTTCTAAGATTTCTTGCACATATATTTACATTTTGTACTATGAAAATGACAAGATGCCACCAAATATGCAAAGCTTAAAAATCATGTGTAAAAGCATGGAAGATCATAGGATTATAGATTTAGAGCTGGTAAGGACCTTAGAGTTCATCAGTCCAAACCTCTCATTTTATAGATGTGGAAACTGAGGCCCAGAGAGTTGAAAGTATTAGACTGAGCTCACACAGGCAGTTAAAGGACAGTGCTGGGATTCAAATCCCAGTCTTCTCACTCCAAATCCTTTGCTGTTTATGCTAGAAATGTAATCCTGCTCCTCCCTCCCCCCAACAGCAACAACCAATTTAACTATAAGACAAGATGACAGTACAATGTTAATAAATTTAAAAATTAGCATCATAGCCATAGGACCAGAGATCTCAGAAGTCATCTAATCCAATGCCCTCTTCTTGAGAAACACCGAAAGCTTAAGCACATAAGCATAAACATCAAATGGAAAATGACAGGTGACTATTTAAATAAATATGAGACAATTCATTGCCAAATCTTCTTGTAAAACCTCCAGCAATCTCTTAGGTATTACTGATTTGCATTAAGAACAAGGGAGAAAAGAAAGATATCACAGACTTTCTGTTAAAAGGTTCTGGATTCAAACCCCAGCCCCTTTACTTAACTACTTGTGTGACCCTGGGGTAAACTGCTTAAAATGTCCCTAGGCCTCAGTTTCCTCATCTGTGAAATGAAGGGGTTGGTCCTTTC